AGAACGACACGCGCCACCAGAGGAAGGGATGTCGCAGCTCGAGCTCGAGGTAACCACCCACGCCGTCTTCGGCACGGCAGAACACCCTCTCGTCGGCCCCCCTTCACAGCACCTTCAAGGAATGCTGCGCGGAACTTGGATCGGCACCTTCGACGCCCACGGCGAGCCGCGACCTTACACCCGCGAGAAGTTCCTGGAAATTTACTCCCATCGCCGCGACTCGTCAAAGAAACTCACCGTGGAACAAGAGGAAGAACTGGCGCGCCGCGAAGCCGAGGAGCTTCGCCAGCAAAGCCTCGCGGAAGCCCGCGGGACCTTCGCTTGCGCCGCCTGGGGAGCTGAGGAGGAAGCAAGCGCATCCAATGAAGGGGGGTGGGGAAGAACTAGAGGCTGGGGAACAAGCGACACCGGCGGATGGGGAGACAACGGCGGAACCTGGGCCAACGCGAGCGGCGGATGGGGCGCCGCATCTGGCGCCGACAATAGCGGCTGGGGCACTTCCCGCGAAGAACGAAGGGGGGAAGAGGAAGAAGCCGCGGAAACCGAAGCAGCACCTGCAGTCGTTCCTCTCGGTCGTCCCCCGCGCCACATCCCGCTCGCACCACCTCCTGCAGACATTCCGCGACCCGTGGGACACCATTATCTGGGGCAACGAGCCGTCAACCCCGCGTCGCACTGTCTACGGACCTGCCCCTGAACCACGCCAACCTACCCTTGTCCCTGGAACCATCCCTGGGACCAACATCCCGCTCTCTGAAATTCGCGACAGAGAGTTCTTGGCGTTGATGCTGACTACCGCGGCAGAAGAAGAAGAAGCAGAAGAAGTAGCAGCGGAACCTGCTCCCGCACCTGACGAACACCCTGAGGAGGTGCGCGCGCGCTACATGCGCACTTCCGGCTTTCGTGCTGACGATGCACTCTGACATCAGCGCCTCGGACACCCTTCCCGCGCGACGCTGAAAAACTGCATCGACGCTGGCGTCTTCGCTCCTGGCGCACTCCTGCGCCCTGATGGCTCCGAAGTGAGTGGCGCGACACATCCGCGCAACTGCACCGTCTGCCCCGAAGCTGCGCTGAACCACCAACCATTCCCGCTCCTTGAGCCTGGAACGAACCGCTACCCCAAGCTGCACAAGGTGTACAGCGACTTCCTGAACGTGGGGCATTGCGGAGTCGAAGACGAGCTATACACTCTTACCTTCATCGACGCTGGAACGCGCTACGTATGGATCGTAAACGTGGAAACCCGCGACAGAGCCTACGAGGTGTTCCGCCTCTGGCTAGCACATGCGGAGCGGCAATCTGGGAAGAAACTCAAGATCTGGCAATCTGACGGCGCAGCAGAGTTCAGGAGCAACCAGATGCAGACCTTCCTGGCGCAAAAGGGGATCGAGCACCACATCTCTCTCCCCTACGCACACCAGCAGCAGGGCGTAGCTGAGCGGACGAACCGCACACTGATGACGAAGGTGCGCGCGCTGATGAAGCAGTCGAAATTGCCACCGGTCTACTGGACCTACGCGATGCACCACGCCGTGCGGGTGCACAACCTGCTTTCGACCACCGCCATCACCGGCAATCTGTCCCCGCACGTCAAGTGGACCGGGACTAAGGGGGACACATCGATGCTGCGCGTATGGGGATGCATGGTGCAGTACCGCCCGCCAACATCAACCATCGGCAAATTCGCCAGCCGCGCGCGCTGGGGAATTCACCTCGGCATCAGCCACGAGTACAAGGCATGGATCGTGCTGGACCTCCTGAGCCAGAAGACCGCCCATGCCCGCGACGTAATCTTCTACGAACGCCTCTTCCTCGACCAGTTCCGCGACGATGAGCAAAGAAACGCGGATCGCGTCTACGCGAACAACGGGCACAGCTACGCAACGCCCGAAGACGAAGCCGCTGCAGCACTCCTGGAGCAAGACACCAGGGCCGAGTTCGCATGGGAGGATCGGCGCAGCAGCGACGACGACGACGACGATGATTCCTCGGGAGGAGGAACAGGCGGAAGCGGAACAGGCGGAAGCGGAACAGGCGGAAGCGGAAGAGGCGCAGCACCTTCAGCACCACCTGAACCTGAAAGCGACGACGATGACGTGCAGGAAGTCATCCCGCAACGTCGCCACGACAGCACCGTTTCGGGGCTGCAGCTGCTCGGGCTTCACGCTGCAACCTCGAAAGCGCCGCGCATCATCGAGCCCCGAAATCCGCGCGAGGCTCTCTCTGGACCACACAGCAAGGAGTGGCGTGAGGCGATGGACGCGGAAATCAAGGCACTGGAGTCACGCGACACCTGGGTGCTCGTCGACCGCGCAGCAATCAAAGGCGCAAGAATCCTCTCGGGGAAGTGGGTCTTCCGCGTGAAGACCGCAGCGGACGGAACCATCGAACGCTTCAAAGCGCGCTGGGTGGTTCGCGGCTACGATCAGAGGCACGGGATCGACTTCGATCAGACGTTCGCCCCGGTTAGCCGTCACACCTCCGACCGCATTCTGCTCGCCATCGTAGTTGCAAGGCACCTGCCACTTCGCCAGATTTACACTTGTGAAGAACGCGTTCCTGTACGCGTTAGTAGACGCCGTGATTTACGTGGAGCAGCCGCACACCTACGGCGAAGGAGACTCGCGCGTGTGTCAGCTGCGCAAGTCACTCTACGGCATTAAGCAGGCTCCGAGGCTGTGGCAGCAGTACCTGCACAATATCCTGCTTGAAATTGGATTCAAGCAGATGCCGCACGACCCAGGGATATACCGCCGCGGAATACATCCTTCTCACGGTGTATGTCGACGATTTGCTTTACACAGGGTCGAACAACGAGCTCCTCGAACAGTTCGAGAAGGCTTTGGCGGGGCGCGTCGACATTACGTGCAACTACGAGGTGAAGCAGTTCCTAGGCCTCAACATCTCCTACGCACCTGAAACCATTCACCTCTCAGCGGCTAAGTACGCAGAGGAGTTAGGGAAGCGGTTCAACATTTCACCTGCACCTCTCTCAACTCCCTACCGAACCCCCGGACCGAACCACAAACCTGACAACAAAGCCCTATCCCCTGCTGGAATCCAGACTTACCAGCAGCAGTTGGGATGCCTCCTCTTCGCCTCTGTCACCTGCAGGCCAGACCTCTCCTACATCGCGAGTCAGCTCGCGCAGTACTCACGCAAACCAACGGCTGAGAATCTCCTGGACCTGCAGCGCGCTCTTCAATTCTTCATTTCAACGCCCAAGATTGGTCTGAGCTACTCAACTGCACCAACTCCATCCTTCAACCTCGTCGGCTACGTGGACGCCGATCACGCAGCAGATCCCGATAATCGACGGTCCAGGACTGGCTTCCTGTTCCGACTCGAGCCATCAGGACCAATCTCCTGGAATTCACAGAAGCAGGAGTTGGTTGCCCTGTCATCAGCCGAAGCGGAATTTATCGCAGCAACCGCAGCAGTTCGCGAAGGCCTCTATCTGCAGGAACTTCTGCAAGAGGCGAAAATTCCAACTTCGCCCACATTCCGTCTTCACTGCGACAACCAGAGCGCGATTCGCATCGCGAACAAACCTGGTTTCGTCAACCGCACCAAGCACATCGCGCTGCGGTACTTCTTCGTGAAGGACGAGGTGGACAAGGGCAAGGTCAACTTGACCTACTGCCCGACCGGTGACATGGCAGCAGACTTCCTCACGAAGCGACTGCCACGCCAGCAGTATCAGCACTGCTCCGAACTCAGTGGCGTGGTCAAGCAGGTCAAGTCGAGCTACGGCCAGGAGTGAAGGGGGGTGTTACGAATAGTAACATTTGATATTACTGTGCACTCCTCACCGCAGCAAAGAGAAGCAGGCAATATCGGGAATGAACGCGAAGCGTCAGACGGTTGGAATTGAACCGAAGAGTCAGACGGTTACAGCGCATCTGGACCGTCGGAGCAGATGGCATCGGGCAGCTTCAGGCAGGATGGTTTTGGCGGGAACAGTTACGAAACTGTACGCGCCGCACGGTTGGGGATGAATTTGAATAAGGGAATGTACCCCTTAGAGTACATGGCTAGTTAGGTCGTTTCGTATTCCCTTGTACTCATATTTATATTTCCTGTATTTGCATGTTTTAATCATCTCAAGCATTTTACATTCACTCTGCTATTGAGGTCAAGGGCCCACCAAACTATCTCACTGCGTGCGAACCTTCCTGAGTAGATCCTAGGCCACGATCAACTACTGATCGCAGCACAGATCACCAGGGACAGAGCCGCTCGCACCATTACGACGGTGCATACCTATCTAAACATATTGTTGTGATTATTGACTTGATTGGCAAACTAACAAATCATAGTTGGGCCTGCTTTTTAGTCGTCAGCGTTGAAGCTAAAACGAAGATAGCAGAAAGTTACACCCCTATCCCCATTGTTGCGAATGCACTTATTTATCTTCGAAGCACCTACGAGCTCCTGCCACGTTGCCTGCACCTCCCTACTCAGCAGTTACAACAGTCAAGATGTGCCGTACCAGCGTTGTACCGAATTCTCCTACATGTATTTTCGCCTTTGCACGATCTTCACGAAGTCTTGGAGAGTTTCTTCGGTGGGCTATCATTGGTTCGACCCAGATTCTGGTGAACTTCGGCATCCTCCACCCCACACGAGGCACCACCACCATCCTTCGCTAAACGTGCAAACGATACCTGCGACAGTTTGGATTGGTTGGAATTGTTTGCACAAGACCCACAGGTAGGGGAAGGCGTCTCTCCCACAGTCAACCCACCAATCTGTTGTGTTTGGTTGCGTTGGGGTTGGCTTGGGGGGGATGTGAACGTGATGTGATGCTAGCCTAGCATAAAGCTCCTCAATGCCTTGAATTCCGAGAGGAACACCACCATTTTTTCCTGCTGCTTCCCTAGCCTTCTGGACCTTTCGTGAAACAGGTTACCTCGAGTAACTGTCGTGTCACCATGCATCTCCTTGCCGACCGCCGATGGAGCTACATCATGAGTCGCGCCGTGGAGGGAAGGGTGATGTCTCAGGTGGACGGCCAGGTTGTCCCTCAGGATCTGGAAGTCGGTAACAAGCAGCAGCACTGGCGAACCATTCGCTGCGGCGACGGTTACCACCTCATCCAGAATCGCGCGACGAAGAACGTTCTGGACCATTGGGGCTCGGAGCGCATCGCGGCGGAGAATCGCAACTGGACGGACCCTCACCACCAGTGGCAGATCATTCACGTGGACGACGGTTTCGTGGCCTTCAAGAACCGCGCGTCGGGAAATGTTCTTGACTTCTGGTATGAAAGCAGCTACATGGCGACTAATGACGACCTGCATCACCACCACCACAACTGGCGGATTATCCGCGCGGATCAGGTGGAGGGTGCGGATGCGTCGTCATCGTCATCGGAGGAGGAGGAGGAGTCCCCGGGAGTCAAGGTGAAGAAGATCAAGTGCGACGAGAATGACCTGCTGTGATTGCAACCCATGGTGGTGCTGCACTACCGTGGATGGCCCATGGAGGAAAGTGACGAGGGATGCTTATTGCTTGTTACGAGGGCTGAACGAGTAGTGGCGACCTGGAGATGAGGAGTATGGGCCGATACATGTTTAGTTGCTTGCATGTTTGATAATCGAGCATGCTGGAATACAGCGGGCACTTTGTGTACTTCACGGCGTTATGTGGTGTTCCATTCAAATTTAGACCCGTTATTCTGGTAGTCTCCTATACAGACCCGATTTGGGACCTTTATTTTCAATCCGCTTTCTTGCTTGTCTGGATTTGGGTGTGGGGTGTCTCTCTGAAACCAAATCACTTCTGCACTTGGGCAGGTACGTTTTCTGTTTCTTTCCTCACCATATACTCCCATTCCGCAATATCTCTCAGTTCTGTGTGTACTTCCAAGCCTTCCTCCAGCCTCGGAATTTATGACACGTTGCTTGCTAGTACCGTTTTCTGACAGCCAGGTCAGGGCGTGCACAAGACGAGGCTGTATGTGTTGCAAATGCCAGCTCTCTTGCGCTCGCTCACATGTTTCTGTCATGCTTCGTCAGTTGCCTTCGCGAGATTCATGGAAACTGGCATGTCTGCTGGGAATCGCGTGCGCCAACCCCCCTCGAGAACATCAATACCAGCAAGGATGTGTCACCTCACGGGCCCCCACAATTGGGGCCGCTCTGTGTTGGCTCGCCAGTCAGTGATAAACGCTCCTCTGTTCCTCTCAGAGGTCACGTAGAGGAACATTCTCTTTCCGGCTGCTCTTCTCGTCGCCAGAAACTCTCCTGACACCAGATTTCAACGAGTAGTAAACGTCTGAAAGAGGTTGGCGATTCCCCAACCTGCCAACATGAATCTCCTTGCTGACCGTCCCTGGAGTTACATCATGAGTCGCCCCGTGAACGAAAAGGTGGTCGCACAAGTGGATGGACAGATTGTCCCTGCGAATCTGGAACCGGGTAACGAGCAGCAGCACTGGCGAACAATTCGTTGCGGGAATGGTTACCACGTGATACAGAATCGCGCGACGAAGAACGTTTTGGACCACTGGAGCTCGCAGCGCATGGCGGCGGATAATCGCAATTGGGAGGATCCGCATCATCAATGGCAGATCGTGCACGTGGAAGGGGAGTTTGTAGTTCTTAAGAACCGCGCATCGGGGGCAGAGCTGGATTTTTACTACGGGAAAAGCATCCAATCAACGGATAGAGACTTGCACCACCACTACCACCAGTGGCGGATTATCCGCGCGGACCAGGTGGCTGGTGCGAATCCGTCGTCGACGTCGTCAGAGGGAGAGGAGGAAGAAGAGGAGTCTCCAGGAGCGAAGCTGCAGAAGATCAAGTGCGACGAGCGCCACCTGCTGTGACCGCAAGCCAGGAATTGCGGGAAACTCGTACCACTGCGAACAGCGACCAAGGCTTGCAACGCAACGCAAATACAATACAAGCGAGGTTCAAGTCTTCAGCAGCGATACCAGCGCATTTGCTCTTGATTGTTGCGTCAAATTCTAGTTCGGCGTCTTGTGTTGAAAAGTGTGGTGAACCCAACTGAACCGCGCTTGATTCCTTCAAACCACCATAACAATCTAATAGACATAACATGGGCTGAATAATTGAAATTCCAACCACAACTTCAACGGAAACCACTTCATTATTTTCATGTCCAAACAAGTTGTCCTACAAAGCTGTTACAACCTGCATTTTGCTTACACCTTTTATTGCACAATGCCGCGGCCTCCCCACACTGCCTGAACACTAATACCACTACCCTACCGCACGAGCAATACCGTAACTACCCACCTACACTGCTCTGTATGCTGCTGATCCAAGGGCGAGCAACCATGTGAGCACCATGGGTTGCTTGCACCCTCCTATTGTGAGTCTTACATCCACCATAATGCAGAACTGTGCAGAGTGGACTGACAGACGTACCGGTATGCTGTGCTTTATCTTTTTGCCGCATATCCATGCTCCAGCACCTGACAGGCAGTCAGCTCGGCAGAAACACCCTTGCTTGCAGCGACCCACACCCACCCAGCCACCCAAATTTACACGTACAACTGACTGCCCATTGCCGAATCATCCCTACGGCACTACTTGCGACCCCATTTGCTGCTTTTCACCCCGCCTGACCTCACTCTAGTCACTCCATGCACACCGGCCCCCTCCTGCTGCTGCCTCCCTCCCCACCCCTCCACGCCCATCTCCACCCTTGACAACCCCCCTCCCCACTCCTCTTCACCCTTCCTCCCCCCTTCCACCTCCGCTTCCACCTCCCCTTTCCCCTCCCGGCCCCCTATTCCCTCTTTTCCTCTCCCCTCCACTTCTCTCTCTTCACCCAGCCGACCCTTCACCCTGCTCACAACCACTGTCCGCCTCCCTCGCGCCCAACCCACCACCTCCCTCCCCCCTCCCACAACTACCCCACTGTCCCCAACCCCCACGCGCCTCCCACCTCCCCCATTCCTCCCTGCACCTCCACCACCACCACCTGCTTTCCCCCATGCTGAACCCCCGTCTTCCCCACTGTTCCTTCCCAACCCATCCCCACCTCCAGACATCCCTCCGGTTTGCCCTAGCCCTCTGGACCCCCTTCCACCACCCCCTCCTCCGCGCCTGTCCCTGCGCCCCCTGCCTCTTCCTCTGCCTGAGCCCCCCCTCCCCATGCCTCTATCCATACGCCCTGTTGGTTCCTCACTGGGGCTAAACCAGTCGTCACTACCTGCATCTGCATCCTCCTCCTCCTCCTCTTCCTCCTCTTCCTCTTCCTCTTCATCCTCTTCATCCTCCTCTACTTTTTCCTTCCTCTCTTCCTCGTCCCCACCCTCTCCTCCATCGCTGTCGTTCACACCATCACCATAAGCACGCACGGGAAAATGCCCATCGTCTCCCCTTCTCCCAATCTTCTGAACCCCCTCCTTCTCCTCCTTTTCCTCCTCCACCTCCTCCTCCACCTCCTCCTCGCTCCCCTCCTCAGTATCTTGAGAGTAGAAACTTGTCCTCACAGCAGCAGCACCACCACCGCCCACACCAGCACCCAAGACGGCCACTCTACCCACCACCACCCTCTCCCCCATCCCCTCTACACTCACACTCCCTTCCACCTCCACCCCTCCCTCTATCTCAACCTTAACATCCACCCCAACTCTGACCCTCCTCTCCTCCACGCCTCTCATCCCCCCACTCCTCCCACCATCTACCTCCCCGTCCCTGCTGCTGCTGCCTCCCTCCTCCCCACCCCTGCCCTCCCCTCCGCCCACCTGCCCTCCCTCCTCCGCCCCTCTGCTGCCACTACTACACCCATTGCGCACCGTCCTCCTCCTCTTCCTGCGAGGCACTTCTAGTCGGAACAGAGTGCCCGGCGACCCGCCCTCCCTTACCCCCACATGCATCTCATGCCTGCTCCTGCTTCTACTCCTCTTCCCCACTGCACCCGTCCCTACCATTGCTCCCTCTCCCTCTTGCTTTCCTTCCTCTTCCCTTCCTTCGTCTCCCAACTCCCTTACTCCCTCTCTCTTCCCTTCCTCAAAAATCCCTCCATATCCTATTCCTTCTTCCCTTCTTTCACCCTCTTCCCTGCCTCCCTCTCCTCTTCCTCCCCCAATTTCCCCTCTCTTGTTCCTCGCTCTCCTCTGTCCCAATCTCTTCTCCCAACCTCTCCTCTTTCCCCTTCTTTTCTTGCTCCTTCTCCTCTTTCGCCCTCTCCTCTTCTTCCCTCTGCTCTTTCCCCCTCCCTCCTTCCTCCCTCTCCTCTTTCCCCCTCTCTCCTTCCTCCCTCCCCTCTTGCCCCCTCTCTCCTTCCTCCCTCTCCTCTTTCCCCCTCTTTCCTTCCTCCCTCTCCTCTTTTCCCCTCTCTCCTTACTCCCTCTTCTCTTTCCATCTCTCTCCTTCCTCCCTCTCCCCTGTCGCCCTCTCTCTTTCTTCCCTCTCCTCTTTCCCCCACCCTCCTTCCTTCCTCTCCTTTTTCCCCCACTCTCCTTCCTCCTCCTCCTCTGTCCCCTTCCCTCCTTCCTCCCTCTCCTCTTTCCCCCTCTTTCTTTCCTCCCTCTTTCCTTCCTCGCTCTCGTCTTTCCCCCTCTTTCCTTCCTTCATCTCCTCTTTCCCCCTCCCTCCTTCCTCCCTCTCCTCTTTCCGCCTCTCTCCTTCCCCCATCTCTTCTTTCCCACTCCCTCCTTCCTCCCTCTCCTCTTTCCCCTCTCTCCTTCCTCCCTCTCTTCGTTCCCCCTCTCGCCTTCCTTCCTCTCTACTTCCCCCCTCTCCTCTTCCACCCCTCCTATGTTCTCCTCCCTCCCCCACCCCTCCTCCTCCTCTCCCTGTTCTGGACCCATCTCGCTCCACACCTCGCACTACCCAACTCCCATCACTTCTCTCCTCAAATTTCCCTACAATCTCCTTAACCTTCCCTCTGTTACTGTTACCACTGCCAGCAGCACCACCTGGACCAGCAGCACCACCTGCACCAGCAGCACGGCCACCACAAACAGCATTGACAGCAGCAGCAGCAGCAGCAGCAGCAGCAGCAGCAGCAGCAGCAGCAGAACCATCAATACATCCACCATCCGACACTGATTCTTTTGATTCTTTGCTCTTCTTTTGTTTCGCAGCACCACCGCCCTTTTCCCAACTATCTTCCACCTCTTTCCCCGCACCCTCCTGCATCCTCTTCTTTTCTTCCTCCTCCACTCCTCCCTCGCATGACCTCACCCTTCCCAGCACAATCCCTCCAAACCTCCCACGCTTTTCTCCCCGCTTTTCTCCTCTCCCTTCTCCTCTCCCTTCTCCTCTCCCTTCTCCTCTCCCTTCTCCTCTCCCTTCTCCTCTCCCTTCACCTCTCGCTTCGACCTTCCTTTCTGCTCTCCCTTCCCCAGCTTTCGCTTCTTTCATTCCCCCCTCCAGTTCCTCTCTTCCTCCATCCCTTTCTCTCTTCGCCCCACTCAAACCCTTAGCACGTTTCTCATCCCCTCCTCTTCTCAATCCTCTCTCTCCCCCCCATCTCAAAACGCCCATCCACCCTCCCCTCCCTTTCCATCCTACCCTCCCCCCTTTCCCTCTCCCCGTTTATCTCCTCGTCCCCTTCCTTCTTCCCCTCCATCCCCCCCCGTTCACTGCTGCTGCTGTTTCGATGGTCGCCTCCTTTTTCTCCCTCTCCTCCACTCCCCTCCCTCCTCCTTCCCTCTCCCCCTTTCTCTCCGCTTCCCTCCTCTCCTCCCTCTCCCCCTACCTCTCCTCCTCCCTCTCCTCCCTCTCCTCCCTCTCCTCCCCCCTCTCTTCTTCCCTCTCCTCCTCCCTCACTTCTCCTTCCCTCACCCATACTCCCGCAATCATTACCAGCAGCGCCAGCACCAGCACTTCCCTCCTCTCCCGGCCCAACACCCCCCAACCCCTCAACCACACCCAACTCCTTGCCACCGCAACACACAGCAGTGGGCGCAGGGCTAGCGGCAGGAGCGGAAGCAGGTGGCAGGGGCAGGTCCGATGGGGGCAGGTCCGATAGGGGCAGGTTCGATGGCGACTGATCCTTCAAAGGGGCGGGTCCGATAGCCCCTCGAACGTCCTTAATAGGTGCGGCAGAGGGCAATGCCTTGCCACGGGTGGCGCTGCTAGGAATAGGAACCTGAGCCGCACCAGGAACCTGAGCCGCACCAGGAACCTGAGCCGCACCAGAAACCTGAGCCGCACCAGGACCCTGGGCACGAGTAAGAAGACTATGCCCTTGCGTTTCCACCTCACCACAACCACCAGCAGCACAGCCGCCGGCACCAGTGGCTACAGAAGCAGCAGCAGCTGTGGCAGTGCCAGCATGTGCAACAGAAGCGGCAGCAGCTGCAACGTTGGTGCCACAATCAGTGGCAGCACGTGCCAGTGCCATACAGCTGCTTTTGTCAGCTGACTCTGATAACCCCACCACTGCTACTGGCACTGCTACTGGCTCATCGGATACAGGCGATTCTTGCTCCTGTTCCTGTGAATGCTGCTGCTGCTGCTGCTCTTCTTTCTGCGGCCCTTCTTGCCGCTCCTCTTCTTGCCGTCTCTCTTCTTGTTGGTGCTGTGGCTGCAAAAGCTCCTGATCTTGATACCTCTCACGCACCAGTCCAGTATCCTTCACCAACTCACACGCTTTTTGAGCCGACTCACCAACCGTCTCATGCACCTCTCCTTCACCCTTCACTGGCAGATGCACACCAGCCCTACCTCTCCCGCTCCCTTCTCTGTTCCCCCCTTCCTCCTCCTCTCCCACCTTATCTGCTACCTTGTCTCCTGTCTCGTCTCCTGCATTGCCCTTCTCTCCCTGAATTCTCTGCCTTCCAGCCTCTCTCTCACCTCTCCCTTCCTTTCCACTCATCCCCTCGTTTCCACTCATTCTCTCTCTTCCACTCATCTCCTCTCTTCCACTCGTCCCTCCCTTGCTTCCATTCATCCCACTCCCGCCGTTCTTGCCACCTGAAGCTGCAGAAGCACAACGATCAGGAGCTGCAGAAGCACAACGATCAGGAGCTGCAGCATCTAAGCCGAACGAACTCATCTTATCTACACGCTGCCACTGCTCTTGCTCTCCTTCCTCCTCCTGCCCTTGCTGCCACTGCCGCTGCTGTTGCTGGTGATGGTGCTGCTGCTGTTGCTGCTGTGCTTGTTGTTCATGCTCCTGCTGCTGACGCCCGTGCCGGCACAGCATACGTCTTTCTCTCTCCTCCATGCTTCCATGCCATACCCCATACATCCTCTCTTCCTCTGCCTCCTCGCCTTCTCCATCACCTTCTCCCAACGCCCTGCCTTCCACCACAGTCCTCCTCTCCTCCCCTACCCCCCTCTTCTCCCCCACCCCCCTTTTCTCCCCCGCTCCCTTCTCCCCCACCCCCTTTTTCTCCCCCGCTTCCTTCTCCCTGCACCCACGTGCTCCATCCACTCCATCTACTCCCCTCTCCACCGCCCGCTCTCCTTCTCTTCCCAACCCCATCCCCTCTCGCAGCACAGCTTTTCCACCTCCCTCACCGTCTCTCACTCCTCCCCCGTTCCCACTACCCGCCATTGCTCCCCCCCCGGCCACCCTCTCCCTTTCCGCTCCCTCCCAGCCCCCCTCTGCCATTGATCCCTCTGCACCAGTCCGCTCCCACACACCAATCGCATCCCGCCTTCTTCCCCCCTGCCCTGCTCTCCACTCCCTCTTCACGCCCCTCACAACCACTCTCCACCTCGGAATGTCAATAATCTCATGGTACCTCAACCTTCCCTCCACCCCTCCCCCAAACCCAACCCCTCCCATCCGTTCCTCTCCCAACCCCCCAACCCCATCCCCTCCCATCCCTCTCCCTTTCCGCTCCTCCCCCTCCCCACTCCCTTCCCCTCCCTCCTCCAACTCCTCACCCTCACCCCTCTCCTCCTCCTCCTCTTCCTCCTCCTCTCCCTCCTCCCCTTCCTCCTCTCCATCCCCATCAGCCCCTTCCTCACCCCCTCTCCGCCTCCTCTGTCTCCTCCCAGCAGGCGGCAGCAGCAGCGGCAGCACCAAATCATCTAAGTCAAAATCTAGTAGCCCTTCAAGTGCAAAGGCATCTCCAAGGCCTCCCAACCCACACACACCACCCAATTCCAGCTCCCCATGCAACTCCAGCTCAGCACCCATCTCCTGCCCCTCCATATAGTCACTCTCCCTAGCAGCTGCCTCTTCTGCTGCTGCTGCTGCTGCTGCCGCGGCTGCCGCTGCGGCTGCGGCGGCAGCAGCAGCAGCAGAGGAGGATGGGGCGTCTGATTCTGCAGCTCGTAGGGTTGAGTCCCCACTGCCTCCCCTCTTGCCTCCTGCTCCTGCTGCTGCTCCTGCTCCTGCTGTTGCTTCTGCGCCTGGTGAGGCGCGTATATGACTGCTTACCCCTGCAGCAGCGGCAGCAGCAGCAGCAACGGCGGCACCAGCTGCGGCTGGTGCAACAGGGTGTTTGTCAATGGCTGCAGCAACAGCAGCAGCAGCAGCAGCAGCAGCACTTATTGGCCCCCTCCCAGCCACAGAATCACCCCCGCGACTACCAGCAACACCAGCAGCAGCAGCAGCAGCAGCAGCGGCTGCGGCTGCTTCTGCTGCAGCTGCAGCAGCTGCAGTGGCGTGTGTTCGGCCTTTCCCCTGCGGGTCTCGCTTTGCAGAAAATGCGTCGCCACCGTCTGCTTCCTCCTGCTCCTGCCCTGCCCCATCCCTGCCCAGACGGAAAGACCCGTCTGATTGGACCGGAGCAGAACGGGCAGACGAAACGGTTTTGGACGGTGAGGAAATGGCAGGGCTGGCGGGGATGGGAGGAGGTGGGACGGGGATTGGGGTAGCCGCCGCAGCATTGCCACCCACAGCACGAGTGGCGGCAGCAGCTGCTGCTGCTGTGGTGCGTCTGGGGACTGGTGCAGGTGCAGTGGAGGGGGGTTGTGAGTGCCGGGAACGATTGGGATGTGCAACTGCCCCTGCACCCCGCACCCCTGCTACCCCTGTTGCTGCTGCTGCTGCTGCTGCCACTGCTGCTTGGTGTGGTGTGGCGGTAGCAGCAGCACCACCAGCAGCAGAACGAGCGGCAGCAGTGAGTGGCGGGTGGGAGGGGGCGGTGGGAGCAGTCGAGGCAGACCGCAGGAGCTGGGCAGAAAGCGCACGCACGCGCACCTGCAAGCAAGTGAGCAACGGGAGAGAGGGTGAACGAGAGACGAGTGGGAAAAGAAAGGAGGGGACGGGTTGAGAGAGGGGAGGAGTGGGTAGAGGCGAGGAATGGGGAGTAGAGAGCAGGGAGGAGAGCAGCAGCACGAACATGTGAGTGAGTGAGCGAGCGAATGAGTAAGCGAGTGAGTGAGTGAGAGAGTGAGCGAGCGAGTGAGTGAGCGAGCGAGTGAGGGAGTGAGTGAGGGAGTGAGGGAGTGAGCGAGCGAGTGAGTGTGTCACCTGCAACTCTTCCAGCCGCCACAGCAAATGCTCTGCTGCCTCCCCTTCCTCCTCTCCAACCATCCCCACCATCACACCCCGCACATCCACTTCCCCCCCTCCCCTCCCCACTCTTCCGCCCCCTCCCCCCACGTGCATGCCCCCTCCGCCCTCCTCCTGTGCGCCCCGCCCCCCCTGCCATCCCCCGCCCATGCGCCCATGCCCATGCTCCGCGGCATGTGAAGGTAGCGCGTGCATGGAGCGGGGAAGCGGCAACTCCCGTGCTTCTGTGTGGGTGAATGAGTGGGTGTGGGCGTGGCTGGGCGAGGGCACGAGGGGATAGCCTTGCTCTGGTAGGGAACAGTTGGGACGGCAGGGTGGGCAAGAGGAGGGTGGGTAAGAGGGTTGGCGGGTGGGGAAGGTGGGCAAGACGTTGCAGGAAAAACGGGAGGGAATGGGATGGGTTTGGAATTGACTTGGAATTTGTGGTCAAGAATGCATAATACGAGATGGATGTGGGAGGCATAACAGTGTGGGAGGCATATGATAGTAGTAAGTTGTGGCAGGAAGCACGTGACATGAGCAGTGGCATGGCATGTGCGAGTGCAGTGGCTTATTTGAAACGTTTTGAAAGCACCCTCATTTCACGTGCGAGTGCGACTCACGGTGGGAGGTGTGGAAGGGCGAGTGGGAAGGCACGAGTGGGGACGTGTGTGTGTGCCCTCCATGTGTGCTCATCAACCCAGGGTACCGCTCCTCCCCTCGCACCCGCTTCTCTGCACGCACATGCACACGCACATGCACACGCACATGCACACGCACATGCACACGCACATGCACATGCACACGCACATGCACATGCACACGCACATGCACATGCACATGGACACGCACATGCACACGCACACGCACATGCACATGCACATGCACACGCACATGCACATGCACATGCACACGCACATGCACATGCACACGCACATGCACACGCACATGCACATGCACACGCACATGCACATGGCACATCGACATACACAGACGTGCACATGCACATGGCAAGGGAAGAGCAAAGGGGGGATGAGGCAGGTTGAGAGACGAGCAACTGGACTAGAGAAAAATTCTCCGCTTGCAACCTCTGCTCTTCTCTGCACGTCCACACACACATGCACATGGATGGGAAGAGGCAGTGGTTCGGCCAAGGCAGTTTGGGGACCGAAGCAGGAGAAGAGGGAGGGGGAGAGACGAGGCGGGGGGGGAGACGAGGCATGGAGGAAAGATGGGCCTGGGAGTAAAAAGCAGATCAGGCAAGAATGGGCAGGATCCAGCAGGAGGGCAGGATCCAGCAGGAGGGCAGGGTACGCACGCACCGACCGAGTGCTCATCCACTCTGCCTTGTACGCCATAAGCCTTCAACTCGACTCAAAACGAAAAACACACACACGCAACCACGCACGCACGCACGCACCGTATCGGGAGAAGAGAGGGTGCTTGGCGAGGTACCCATCCACGCTGTACGCCATCTCTGCGCGCACATGTGGCACGCGCACCATCACCCGCTTCACCCCCCGCCGGCCCCCCCTCTCCCGCCCCACAAACGCCAGGCCTGTTCGCGCCGACCCATGCTCCGCCCCTGCTGCCTCTGCTGCCCCTGCTGCCCCTGCTGCCCCTCCTTCCCCTCTCCCTGCTGCTGCCTCCCCCCCCTCCTTCCCTTCACCTCCCCCTCGCCCTTTCAAATCGCCCCCTTGTTCCCCCGCGTCTGATTCTTCGCCAGCGCCCTGCCACGCGCTCCCTCTGCTTTCGCCCGGATCAACGCTCTCTCTGCTGCCTCGGTTGTCTGCCCGCAGAATGGCAGCACCCACATCTGGACCTTCTGCCAATGCACCGTCACCTGCCGCACCTGCTGCAGCTGGTGCGGCTGGTGCGGCTGGTGTGGCTGGTGCTGCTGCTGCTGCTGCTGCTGCTAGTGGTGCTGCTGGTGATGCTGCTGCAGCAGCAGCAGATGCAGCAGCGGGTGCAGCGCTAGATACGGCAACGGCAGCAGGGCTTGCGCCTTGCCTCGCCATGCCTTGCCTCACCGCTTCTGCATCAGCTAGAGCGGACAGAGTCAAAGCCTCCCTTGCGCCTGTGCCTGCGCCAGCTGCTCTTGCTCTTGCCACCTCCTCTGCCCCGCCTCTCCCGTTTCCTCTACCTACTGCCGCACTGCCTTCTGCTGCCACCTCGCTCTGTGATTTTCCACTTGGCGCTGCTGTTGCTGCTGCTGCTCCATCTCCTCCACCTCCTCCTCCTCCTCTTGACGCTGCTGCTGCTGCTCCCACTGCTGCTGCTGCTGCTGCTGCTGCTGCTGCTGCTGCTGCTGCTGCTGCTGCTGCTGCTGCTGCTGCTGCTGCTGCTGCTGCTGCTGCTGCTGCTGCTGCTGTTGTTGCTGCTGCTGCTGGTGCTGCTGGTGCTGCTGGTGGTGCTGGTGCTGGTGCTGTGGGAATAGGAAGGGACCCTGGGATTGATCCATACGGCAAGAGGTTGAGGTAGTAAGGATAGCTGGAAAAGGGATGTAAGAGGAGGGATGAAGAGTGGTGCGGAGGGGTGTGTGTGTACGGGTAGTGTTCTGTGTGGTGTGTGCTGCGTGGTAGAGGGGGAGTACGAGGGTATGAGGGCATGTGAGGGTGTGAGGGAGCATAAGGGTGTGGATGTGAGGGAGCGTGTGGGTGTGAGGGAGTGACAGAATGAGGAGGGAGTGAGTATGGATAGCGAGCAGGAGTGACAGGTCGTAACCGAGAGGGACCGGCAACAGCAGACGCAGCAGGAGGATATGGGGCAGAAGCAGCAGCAGGAGCAGCCGAGGGAGCAACACCAGCAGCCACGGTAGCAGCAGCAGCGGCAGCGGCAGCGGCGGTGGCGGGGGGAGAAGGGGAGAGGTGAGGTGGAAACATTTCTTTGGGGCCAGTAAGAGGTGCAGGAGCTGGTGCAGTGGAGGCAGGGGCAGGGGTGGAGGGAGGAGCAGAGGTGGAGGGAGGGGCAGAGGTGGAGGGAGGGGCAGAGGTGGAGGGAGGGGCAGAGGTGGAGGGAGGGGCAGAGGTGGAGGGAGGGGCAGAGGTGGAGGGAGGGGCAGAGGCAGGAGAGGGAGATGGGGCTGGAGATGGTGCGGTGGTGGGGAACGCGGCAGGACTAGGAGGTGGGTGAGGGGGGTGAGAGGGCGCAGATGTAGCAGGTGAAACTACGGTTGCTGCTGGTGCTGCTGTTATGTGTGAATCAGAAAGGGGTGCATTAGTTGCAGCAGTGCCTGCTGGAGCCGCAGCAGCGGCAGAACTGTACATGTGCCGTTGCTGCTGTTGCTGCTGTTGCTGCTGTTGCTGCTGTTGCTGCTGCTGTTGCTGCTGCTGTTGCTGCTGTTGCTGCTGTTGCTGCTGCTGCTGCTGTTGCTGCTGTTGCTGCTGTTGCTGCTGTTGCTGCTGTTGCTGCTGTTGCTGCTGCTGTTGCTGCTGTTGCTGCTGCTGTTGCTGTTGCTGTTGCTGCTGCTGCTGTTGCTGTTGCTGTTGCTGTTGCTGTTGCTGTTGCTGCTGCTGCTGCTGGTGCTGCTGATGCTGCTGCTGATGCTGCTGCAGATGTTGTTGCTGCCGCTGTTGCTGCTGCAGCTGCTGCCGCTGTTGCTGCTGCAGCTGCTGCCGCTGTTGCTGCTGCAAGTGCTGGTGCTGGTGTTGCTGCTGCAACTGCTGCACAGCAGCAGCAGTGGCAGCAGAAGGTGCAGCTATATAAACGCCAGCACCACCACCACTACCACCAGCAGCCTCCTCCCCCTGCTGCTGCTGATCCTGCTGCTGTCTGGGCTGCTGCAGCAGAGAGGCTCGGTGCAGTTTAGTGCGGTGCAGAAAGGTGCAGTAGCGCTGCTCCCTGCGTTTGAGCTCTGCCATTCGCAACTCGAGCCATCGGCAGCGCCACTCAATGCTGTGGCGATACGCCCGCCACTCTGGGTTCAGCTGCGCCCGTGCACTGGAGGGGGGGACGGACGAGGGGAAGGGGGAAAACATGGAGGAGTGTGAGGGTGAGAGTCTGCTTATCAAGGCGCCACTCAATGCTGTGGCGATACGCTCGCCACTCTGGGTTCAGCTGCGCCCGTGCACTGGGGGAGGAAGCGGGGGGGGAACATGGGGAAGGAAGGGTGAGAAAGAGGGAGGTGGGAAGGGGGGAGGGGTCTGTTTTTGAAGGCGCCTCAAAAGCAGCGCCACTCAATGCTGTTGCGATACGCCCGCCACTCTGGTTTCAGCTGCGCCCGTGCACAGGAGGGGGAAGCGCGCAAGAGGGAAAGACCAGAAGGGGGGAGACATGGGGAAGGAGGAGAAGGATGGGGAAGTGAGGACAGAAGGAGAGAGACCAAGACGTGAAGCACGGACGGACTGACGCACGGACAAACAGAAAAACCAAATGACTTTTGAGTTGACTCAGAAGTGAGGACAGGAGTCTGTCAGTCACCCATACATGAAGCACGGAAGAACGGAGGGATGAACGGAGGAATGGAACAACGCACCAAGCATGTGAACCATTGCCCTCAGCATCAGCAGCAGCAGCAGCAGCAGCATCGCCTCTCCCTCGTCCACGCCCATCCTCATCTCGCTCCCCCATCTCCCCACCCGCCCCTCCACCCGCCCTTCCACCATCCCCTCTCAACCCACCCGCACCCTTCTCCTCATCCCCCTCTCCCTCTCCCTCCTCTCCCATCCTCCTTAAACCACTCTCCGCCTCTCCCAACCCCTCTGCATCCCCGTCGCGCCCGTCCTTCCAGTCAAGCCCCAGTGAAGCAAGGGAGTCCCCAAAGGAGCTAGAGCAGGCCATGGCTTGGGGGTGGTGGCTCTCCACTCCCAGCATCCCATGGCTTGCCGCACGCACCATGCCCCCTCCTCCCACCACCCCCATCGGCCCCATCCCCACTGCTGCGGACGCACCGCTACCACCAGCAGCAGCAGCAGCAGCAGCAGCAGCAGCAGCAGCGGCGGCGGCGGCAGAGGATGGTAGAGGAGCGGGAGCAGCAGGGGCGTGGGGGTGGGCGTGGGAGTGGGCGTAGAGGGGGGCGTGGGGGTGGGGGTATCTTGAGGTGGGGAGGGATCGTTGGAGGGGATGGGAGGGTAGGGGGGGAGTCCTGTGCCTTGCTGTGGTGCTGCTGCTCGCCCCTGCCCTGCCTGCAGAGGCTGCTGCTGCTGCTGCTGGTGCCGGGGGAGCAGCAGGACGAACAACAGCAGCAGTGCCAGCAGCAGCACTAGCAGCCGTGTTGGGAGCAGCAGCACTGGGAGCTGCTGCAAGTGGGGTGGGCGCCGGCAGCATGGGCGCATGTGAGGACATGCCTTGCAGCACATTCTCATTCTCATTCTCGCGTGCCTGCCCACCAGGATGGCTGTACACATGCGCACTCGCACTGCCGCCATGGGTGGTAAACACATGCGCATGCGCATGCGCAGCGGAATGGGCACGGGCGTGCAGATGAGAATAAGGATACGGGTTCGCATGGGGATGAGAAAACGGGACGGCAGGGGCATGGGGATAGGGATTAGCATGGGGTTGCACGGAACTAGCAGCAGCAGCAGCAGCAGCAGCAGCAGCAGCGGCGCTGCTGGGTGGTGCACCCACTCTGCCACCGCCCCTGCCAGCAGCACCACCAACAGCTGTAGCTGTAGCAGCGGCTGCTACAGTCGCTGCTGCCCCTGCCCCTCTTCCCGTCCCCGTTGAAACACTTGTGGCAGCACACGTAACAGCAGCCATAGCACCTGTAGCAGCAGTTATAGCAGCACCTGTGGCAGCAACTGCAGCAGCCACTGCAGCAGCAGCTGTAGCAGGGGCTGTTGCTGCAGTGGCAGCAGTAGGGCATGCAGATGGAGTTATAACACAAGGAGTTGTGGGCATGGCAGCAGCGGGAGTAGCGGCAGCAGCAGTAGCAGCAGCAGCAGCCGTGGCAGCAGCGGGAGTAGCGGCAGCAGCACTAGCAGCAGCAGCAGCCGTGGCAGCAGCGGGAGTAGCGGCAGCAGCAGTAGCAGCAGCAGCAGGCGTGGCAGCAGGGGCACTGACAGCACTGGCTGCAACCTGGGCTGCGGCACTAGATGACCTTCCTGACATTGGGTGGCCGCACACAGGAGGACCTGTTGCTGCCGCTGTTGGTGTAGCTGCTGCTGCCGCCGCCGCTGGTGCTGCTGTTGCTGCCGCTGCTGGTGTTGCTGCCGCTGCCGCTGCTAGTGTTGCTGCCGCTGCTGCTGCTGCTGCTGCTGCTGGTGTTGCTGCCGCTGCTGGTGTTGCTGCCGCTGATGGTGTTGCTGCCGCTGCTGGTGTTGCTGCCGCTGCTGGTGTTGCTGCCGCTGCTGGTGTTGCTGCTGCTGCCGCTGCTAGTGTTGCTGCTGCTGGTGTTGCTCCTGCTGATGGTGCTCCTCCTGATGTTGCTCCTGCTGGTGTTGCTGCTGCTGGTGTTGCTGCTGCTGGTCGGGCCAGTGGTGGTTCTGCTGGCAACGTCACTGGTGGTTCTGCTGGCAACGTCACTGGTGGTTCTGCTGGCAACGTCACTGGTGGTTGCGCACCTGCGGTTGAGCAAGCAGGTACACTTGATGCAACAGCACCACTCGCACTTCCTCTCGCTGGCACTGCCGCCGCAGAAGCGGGGGAAGAAGCTACAGCATTCGGGGCAGAAGCGGTGACAAGTGCAGGTGCAGCAGCAGCAGCAGCAGCAGCAGCAGCAGCAGCAGCAACAGATGCAGCACTTTCCCTTGCAGCAGCGTCACGGGCAATAGACACGCCCGGTGCAGCAGTTGTGGAAAGCAGAGAGGCAGCAGCAGCTGGAGTAGCAGCAGCCAGGGAAGCAGCATGGGCGTGTGAAGGAAGAGAGGGCAGTTCTGTTGCGTGACCAATCTCCTTCACGTTTCCTGCTGCTCTTGTGGCGACTGCTGCTGCTGGTGCCGCCGCTGCTACAGCTGCTGCTTCTGTGCCCAACACTGCGACTGCTGCCATACCCGCTGCTGTTCCTTCTGCCGCCTGCCTGCCCGCAGCACCCGCAGCGCCACTACCGCCACCACTGCCACTCCCTTCGCCAAGAGGAGCAGCAGCAGACAGTGCTGCAGCCGCAGTAGCCGCAGCAGCAGCAGCACTACCAGCAGCAGACGCAGCAGCAGCAGGTGGCAGTGGTTCCGCCACGGTCAGCCTCGTGCTTCCAACCCCCTTTTCTGCCTTCTTATCCCCTCCATCCACCACCGCCTCTTCTCTACCCATAACCCGCTCTGCCTGCACTGTCAGTTCTGCACTCAACGCCGTTCTACCAACCGGGGTTACCTGGTTACCAGATACAGCTTCTTTTCTAGGGTTACTGTCAGTAACTGCTGCCGTCTGCCTGTCACTGTTGCTAATAAGTGGACCCGTGTGGTTACCAGTGGTGTCAGTATTAGGCTCTACATATGTGCTAGTGCAACTCTCCAGTTCCCTTCGCACTTGCTGCAGTATTGACAGGCCCTCTGCTAAGGGACATGGCACAGCTGCCTCCGCTGCTGCTGCTGCTGCTGCTCCTGCTCCTGCTGCTGCTCCTGCTGCTGACGCACTTGGCACAGTGGTTTCCGAAGCTAGCAGTGCGGCCTGGCCGGAGCTACCCCCAGCCAGTTCCGCGCACACTGCCTCGTAGTCAGCCTGCTTCATAGTGCGCGGGGAAGTGGGAGCAGAGGAGAGCCAGAGTGCTGCGGATCAAGGGGCTGGAAACGACACAGGTGCTGACAAGCAAGGTGCTGACAAGCAAGGTGCTGACAAGCAAGGTGCTGACAAGCAAGGTGCTGACAAGCAAGGTGCTGACAAGCAAGGTGCTGACAAGCAAGGTGCTGACAAGCAAGGTGCTGACAAGCAAGGTGCTGACAAGCAAGGTGCTGACAAGCAAGGTGCTGACAAGCAAGGTGAAGACAAGCAAGGTGCTGACAAGCAAGGTGCTGACAAGCAAGGTGCTGACAAGCAAGGTGCTGACAAGCAAGGTGCTGACAAGCAAGGTGCTGACAAGCAAGGTGCTGACAAGCAAGGTGCTGACAAGCAAGGTGCTGACAAGCAAGGTGCTGACAAGCAAGGTGCTGACAAGCAAGGTGCTGACAAGCAAGGTGCAGACATTGACTGGGTGGGTGGGCGTGTGTGGCCATTGACTGGCTCGTACCATAGGCTTTCACTCACCGCCCTCGCACCACCGCCCTCTCACCGCCCTCTCACCATGGGCGCTTATTGGTCCGCACACCCTCTCTCTCTCACCACAAGGTGCATGTAAGGCAGCAGCAGCGCACCTGGAAGGCGTCCCAGCTGTCATACTCGCCCGCATCCACTCGCTGCTCCGCCTGCACCAACCACGCACGCACCACTGCTCCTGCCGCTGCTGCTGCTGCTGCTGCAGCTGCAGCAGCCGAGCTTGGTCTTTCTGTTGCTTCTGCCGCTGCCGCTACAGCTGGTGCTTGCTCGGTGAGCCTCCTGTTATGCATGTATGGCGTGGGTGCGCGCATGGCAGGGCGGGGAAAGAGGCATCGAGGCGGGTTAGAGGCATGGCGGGAGGCTGGTGGGCGGGGAGAGAGGGAGAGGGGACGTTACGTAAGGAAGGGGTGTGGGAAAGGGCGGCGACGTCATTGCTTGCTGCTACTACCACCACACCCATTCGCTGTTCCTTTCTTCCAAGTTTTTAACACCAGCTGGCCGCACAACACGGCATGCTACCACTCGCACCCAGCCAACGGATCTCGAAACGTGGCACGCGCAGGAGGCGCAGAGCAGGCAGGGAGGTGCGCGCGCATAACGGATCGAGCGCGAGTACCGCGCGCGCGCGACGCGAAGGACAGAAGGCGCATGGGGGGGGGGGGGGGGGGGGGTGGGTGCGAGCGGCCGCGGGTCTCAGCGCACGGACCAGCGCGGACTGACTGATTCGCTCTTGAAAATTATTGAGAGCGGACGCGCGTGGACTAATAAGCGCTTTCGAATCGACGCGCAGCGCAGGTCACAGATGGGCGCACGCGCGCGGACAGTCTGCCGTCAGCGCGTTGCGCGCGTACCCCCACGCGCTTTCCACGCGCTCCGCGTCAGCACTGGCGGAGCGCGGAGCACGCAGCAGTGCTGAGGAACGTGCGCGTGAAAAATCGCATATGGAAGGTGCGCGAGAGCGGCAGTATAAAAAGCGAGAGAGAGGCGCGCGGGCGACCGCGGCCCTCGATAGAAGGCATGCCCCCCGACGGCGCGGACTTGACGAGAACACGCGGAGCGCGGATCCCGCACGTGCTGCTTTCTGGCTACCGTTGAAGAAGGCCTGAAGACCTGATCCTCACTAAGGCCTGATCCGCGCATGTCACGCGCGCGCTTGATCCGATCTGATCCCAACTGATCCGAACTGCTTCCTGCCTATCGCGCGCGGCAACGCCTCACTGTGCACGACTCACACCGCGAAAAACGACTCGTCTACGAGAAAACGCGGCAATGGCCGCATGCGCGCGCTGTGATGCTCGCGCGCCTTAACGCCCGCGCGCTGAGCTAGCTTTGCGGAGAGGGCTCGCGTGAACAGGGGGGGACACGAGGCGCACGAGATCTACGCGAGCGGTTGCAGCGGAAGGCAAATGCACGCTGACATACGCCCGAACGCCGCCCCCCGAGAACAGTTTTGGTTCAAAACGTCTTAGAACGAGTCTACTTTCACGCAGCGAACGACAGAGGTACCGTGATCGTCACCCGAGGGTCTCGCGTACCCACGCCTATTGAGTCAACTAGTCGACTCATAAGTCATGATCTTAGAGGGGGGTCGCACGGAACGACTGAGGCACCTTGATATACGCGCGAGCGCCTCCCGCAACGACGCCTGCAGCTGCTGCGGAGAAGCCGCGGGCGCGGATCCAGCACACCCGCCTCGCTGAGCCCTTCCGCTCCCCCTACCCTGCGCTTGACACCCTTCACGAGACCCTGTCTCCGCCCCTCCTGCCCCTCCTGCTTCTCCTGCCCCTCCTGCTTCTCCTGCCCCTCCTGCTTCTCCTGCCCCTCGGCTTGCCCTGCCAGTGCCGTCGCAGACTATTTCTAATGAACCTGCCGGTTCTCGCAGTAGCGCCTCACTCGATATACGCGTCTCGCTTAAGTCACTAGCTGCGATCCGTCGGCCCGCCACGTCATCATCACGCCGGGTTTCCCCCTGCCCCCGGACCTTCTCCCCGCGACCCGGCTCCCCTTTCGCGGCGCCTCCTGCTGTTCCGCGCGCTGCTATAGACCCGGCGGCTGCGGCAGCGTCAGCGGCGGCGGCGGGAACTGCGGGGGAAGCGGAAGCCGAAGCGGACGCGGAGGAGGAGGCGGGGATTGTCGGTGCAACAGTTGCCGAAGCGGGCGGAACAACGGCTGGCGCGGCTCCGCCCACAGCCATCGCCGCGCTGATACCCGCGCCAACAACTTTCTCCGACCATTTCTCCGCCTGAAGCCGTCGCGGATCAGCGCCTCCCCCACTCCCTCCGCCCCGCTCCACGGGCGCCCAGTCGGCGGCGACCCCCCTTCCCCCTTCCGCCGCCATTGCCCCCGCCAGAAAGTCTGCGGTTAACAGCCCGCCTGCGCCGTCGTCTGCATCTCCGTCAGTGGCGTCAGCGAGGCGCACTTGCAGCGGCGCTACGCCATTAACGGACACGGACATGGACGAAACGACGCGGCTCGATCAGATATAAGTAGCGCTTTAACGCTTTCAGATGAGTGGTCTAAACGCGGCGCGCAGATGTCCCGGGAGCGGGAAACCTGGATTTTAACGATAGCACTTAGAAAAGACTAACGGTCATAGACGGACGAAGATGACGATGTTGCTGCTGCTGGCTGAAGGGAACTTCGACGCCGATTGCCGACGCGCATGATCGCGATCCTAGCCGATCTTTCTTGCGACTGTGTCAGTGCGTTCGTGCGACGAAAGGACCGAAAGGACGTCCCAGTAACGACATGATCTCATCGAGTTTCCATGCTTGCCTACTGCGTATTATTCGCTTAATGGACGGCACTGCTCCCGATCGGCCATGATCTTGTTCGACTATCATATCTGCCCTAAAAATAACGAGCTAAATTAGGGTTACCCTAATTGCAAGGAGAGAATCGATGGAAACGCGTTGCGTAATTACAATCAGCTACGATCAGTGCCCAATTCATTGCACGGCCACTGCCCGAAAAAGTTCGATCCGTACGCGGCTCCGAATTATGGAACACAACATTAACGACTATCGTTGCTGGCAGAGGCGCGTTAGGCGCCTCTTAGGTCACCCTAGGATAGCAGCAGCATGCAAGCTAGGGCAAGCTCGTCAGGTCACTGGTGTTGCGTTGCGTGCGTTTCGTTTTGATTGCAAGCAACCCCGCTTGAGGCCATGGCCCTCCCGCGCTCCAGGGGCTGCAAGCAACAGCACAGCACCGCAACAGCCCCCCCCCCCAAACCTACTCCCTACCGCCTTTCCAATTCCCTTCCTCCCTCCCCCGTGATCCCGAACCAGTCGCCAGACCACACTGGCGCGCGCAGCAACAAGCGTCACTGGTCTCTGCCGCAGCATCAGTGCCGCGTGGCGGTCAGGGAAAATTGTCCTCACGGTGATGGCGGTATGGTTGCGGGGAGAAGGGCTTGTCTTGCAAGCGCAATTCCGATTGCCACCGCGGTGCCGCCAAGGTGGGGGAAGGTGGGGGGGGAGCAAGCGAGCTGCCGAACAGAACTGTACGTACAGACCTGGTTGAAATACAGTATTTTAAGGTGTACAACATCGTTCTCGAATCAAACCCGAAGTGTTCGAAGATCACTTCGAGTTTTCTTAGAACTTAACCTAATCGAAGCCTGCCTTTCAAGAGAACAATCAATGCGGGGTCTCATGGGGCCCCTACCGCTGTGGAAGGAATGTCATTCTGGTTGCGCTTTCACACAATCTCCAGAGATTATTGGTCATATAGGGTAATTGACCTCGTCACGATTGGCTCATGAGGAGCCGTGACCACGCCGCGAAGCCTTGGGCTTGGTGGAGCCAGATTTGTCGGGTGTTTTCGACGTCCTTCGTCCAGACCTGGAGCTCGGCAAGTGGTGAAACGCTATTGGCTGCATTTGCCAGACCAAGAATATCAAGCTTGGTATGGTCGATGTAAGACAAACAACAAATTTTGTGACACGCGTACAGTATCACAATGCAGTATGGGTGTATGATATTTTTCAAATTCTTACTCAACATATTTTCCAACGCATACAACACTATTCACATACTCTACCACTCTACCTTTCTTCGCCCATTACCAAATATTGGTTCACATTGTATGCAATTTTTGTCAAACCATCCTTTGCTAACTAATGCCAACTTAATTTACACCTTATAAATTGTCCGAACCTCATTGCTGTTGGGCTGAGAAAAGCCCTTAAGATCTTTACAAGGCTAAACTCTGGGTAGGAACTGTTGGAAACAATTAATTTAAGCGCCTCTGTCGTGTCGAAACACTAAGTCACAAGCGAAGCGAAACACATCGAAGCACCGGCGAGCAGGGGTTTTTTTATCAGTGTAATTTACTCTGTTTCTCTGAAAATCAGAGTGGTTTTTAGGGGGGCATTCTGTACCTGCTGGGTAATTTTTCCAAGAGTTACTTGTTCTCTGACCTGTCAGGGTTTTTGTGTAAGTTCACTCTGGAGCGCCCGTGTTTCTTTCCCGGATAGTGAGATTACTATGTACGGGGATACATGTATCCCCGAACCCCCACGTTCCCCCTTATCCCCGTGTTGCCGGTTTGGACCGAAGCACAGGGGATATCACACTTGTTTTGCTCGTGTGTTGGCACTATCTGAGGTTAACGATAGAATGCGTGCACATCAGGGTTAACGATAGAAATTACCCTGAGGTGCTAGGGTTTTTATTCTGACAGCCTGTGTTACACTGACAGCTAAGAGAAAGGCTCACCAAACACTCTGGATTTAAGGGTTAGGTCAAAAACGCCTCGGGAAACCAGTGTACTCCAAAACGAAAAAAAAACCCCTGCCGGCGAGTCAACCCTCTGAAGTTGAAGTACAGTAACTGCTGGAGGTTACGCGAAAGTCAAAGGTCAGCGACCTTTGACCTGACAAGTACAGCACGACAGCAAGGACACACAACTGACTCGTTACAGAGCAGTTGCCCGAGTCGTCACTGTATCGAACCGCAACAGCAATAGTAAAACAGCCATAGCAGCATCTTTTCATATTCCTTGTACTCTTATAAAACCTTGTATCTCTTTGCTTTAATTAATCTACTTTGCCCTCACATACTAGCGCAAGGTGGTTCAACTGTTTCATTTAAGCTTCCGCTATTACAACAAGCCCTACCTAGAGTTCAGTCCTGCAAAAGATCCTAAGGGCTTTTCTCAGCCCAACATGGTATGAGAGCAAACAGGGCGAACTCAACTACTATCAAGCCACCTACAATATCAGAAGACATGGCTACCGAGAAGGAAAGGAGTTCCTCTAATGGTTCTCCCGGCACTACTCCTACTCTACCTCCTGCCTCTGGCCTACGAACAGAGGAGGGTACGGCAACAAGACCAAGGGCATCGTCTACCGAGACTCCCGCAAATCAACCTGCAGGCTTCGACCAGAGCATGATGGAGAAGTTCTTCTCCTTCATGTCCTTCTACGAGCAACACCAGCAATCGGCACCTGCGCAGTCAAACAACAGCAAGAACAACAATGACGTGACGCCCATGAGTCTCGACGGCTCATCCTACGCACGTGGAAATCAACAGCAACAACCTACCTTTGCTCTGTACGAACCTCAGCGCGGATCCATCAGCTTCATGCCACACCCGCAGCCTGCACCCGGATAAGAAAGAACACTGGACGCACTTCAAGTTCAGTCGCAATTCGCGCACGTCTTAAAATTGCAAACATCAAGGACATTCGACGGAAAGGACTTCTTCACCTGGTCGTTCGAATTCAAACTAGTTGATGATGGAAGGCGCGCAGATTCTTGGCTTCTTCGACGGGTCCCTGCCATATCCAACACACGGCACACAGTACGACAAGCAGCAGTACACGTATCAGTCAATGATGGCGTATACCATCCTGCTGAGGAACATCACTCCAAATCAACAACAAAACATTCGGTCTTACCGGGGATACGGTAACTCCGCCGAGCTCGCGTACAACCACCTGAAGAACCTGTATCAAGCAACAGACAGCGTCAACCAGAGTCGGTTAATGGCGCAATTGACAACAGTGGAAATGAAACCGGGCGAAAAGGGGATGGCGTATATCAGCCGCTGTCGCGAGTTGCGCGACAAGCTTCTTCGATGCGGAGGGTCGATATCGGAAGACGCCTTCGTCACAGTCGTTATCGGTGGTCTTGGCCCTCAATGGCGCTCCACTCGAGCCATTCTCCGAGCCCACGGGAAGATCTCCGAAGCAACACTCTGCGCCAAGATTCACGCCGAACAGCAAGACATGGACATGCAAGAAGAAAGACACAAGAAGAAAACGTCAGTACCTGAGTTCGCTTTTCACACTCAACGGCGCTACAACAACAACAACAACAATCGACATCAACCAAAGCACGTACCTCCGTTTTGTCATCTCTGTAAGACGTCAGGGCACCCTCGCACGCATTGCCCCAATCGACAGCAGCCAACATCGACGCAGCGGCAGCTTGCCTTCAAGTAGTCAAGTCGCCTCAACACAAGCGAATCCCACCACTCAAGTACAAGTCTCAACGACATCGACAGGACAACCTGCACAAGGAACAAGAAACATCGTCAGCTGCATGGCAAGACTGACCGACTCCTGCATCACCGAGTCACCGCCACATTACTCACCGGAAGAACAGCTCGACAACAGTACGCCCCGCCGCGAGTCACTTCAACCGAACCCGACGTGTGCAGCTATCGCCCAATGTGAGCCGTCCGGAAAAGACACTTGGTTCTTGGACAGTTGCTGCAGGTAGCATATGTGCTCTTCGGATCGCTTCGTGCAGCGAGAGTACCAACTCCAACGCGAAGTAATCATCACCGTCGCCAACAACCAGAACCTGCGCACACGACGACAAGGCGTAGTTCAACTTCAGTCACGAGAAACAAGCGTTATACTGCAGTTGTCAAAGGTTTTAATAGCAGAAGGACTCGGCTACAACTTACTCTACGTTAGTCAGCTGATGGCGAAAGGCATCCACCTCGAAGCAGACAGCACCACCCAAGAATTCAAGTTGTACCACGGGAGAGGAGGCCTCTACATCGGCAATGCTGTGCTGAAGAACAACGTCTTCGTCCTCGACTTCGTCCCAGATTTAGGCACCGCTGGCAGTGACACTATTGTCAACTTCACTTCTTGGACACACCCGCCGGATCTTGACCCAGACTTCAGCCCGGCGGCTTTTGGCATTCCCACACAATTCCTGAGGCAGAACGAACAAGAGCGTTAGCAACGATTCAACAATCGGCAGCAGCAGAAACAACATCGGCAGCAGAGACAACATCGGCAGCAGCAGAGACAACATTGGCAGCAGCAGAGACAACAACGGCAGCAGCAGAGACAACATTGGCAACGAGAATAACAACGACGCCAATCGCTGGTCCTTCAACGGCACCAATCTTCGTCGACAACACACCACCGACACCCGGGCAGCAGCTGACTCCGACTCAACAAGAAGTCCATCGAAGCGCCAACTTCACCGC